TGAACATCTCCAGTCAGACCGTCCAAGACTCCTCTTCGCGACCCAACAATGTGATCAAGAGCAGCGCTTCGGTCAACTTGTTGAACAACGCTGCCGTCAAATTCGTTCATGGCGATATTGACGGAGACGTCTACCTTGAGAGCATCATCAAATGGGCTAAGGAGAGTCGAGAGAATATCAAGCAAGGCGTTAGTGAGATTCCTCGTGAACTCTCACAAGGTGATCTATACTGTGCGTGTTCAGAGTAACCCCTCCTACTCGTCAACTCACTAACGTATCTTCAGTGTGCCCTACGTCCATCGAGGCCATGCAAGGTGCTCTGGGCACAACATGCGAAGCTGTCGATTCTGTCATTGCCGCAAGTCGCTCAGTCGGTTTACCTCCTGCTCCTCGACGCGCTTTCGTGTCTGTCAGGCCTCCAGGCCATCACTGTGGAGAGGTGTGCGCTACTCAGAACCTTCTCCGCTTTACGCCTTTGCTCACGCTTTCACGCCTCTTTCGTAGCAGACTCCTTGTGGCTTTTGTTTCGTGAATAACGTCGCCGTCGGAGCGGCTCATGGTGCGTGTTCATGTTCTACTTTGTCATGGAGTACGCGAATTGACACCGCGCTGTTTTTGCAGCTCATCTAAAGCATGGTATCAACCGTGTCGTGATTGTGGATATCGACCTCCATCATGGTACGTTGCCTAAGCTTGACCCTTTTCCCACATCTCAACGGAATCCTAGGTAACGGGACGCAGTCCATCGTCTGGCAGATCAACGAAGAGACGTACCGCCAAACCCTCGAAGCAGCCTCGGGCTCCTCCTCGGCCAAACCAGGTCCTCAAGTCTACTACGGCAGCATTCATGATGTTTTGTCTTTTCCTTGCGAGGTAACCGCCGCGCTTTTACTTTCCAGAAATGTCTTCACTGACTGCGATTCTTACAGGGAGGGAAGCCTGAACTCGTACAGGCAGCCTCGGTGTCTATACATGGTCCACACGGGCAGTTCGTTGAGAACATCCATTTAGAGACTTACAACTCGGACGAGGAGTTCTTCGACGAACTCTATGCGAAGAAGTACTCTAGGCTCTTGACCAAAGCGGCCGACTTTCTTGATCAAACAGGCGGGCCAGGGGACGACGTCCTCGTGTTCATCAGGTAAGCCCCTCCTCATCTCATCATCTCCTGCTCGTATACTCACTCCCAACACGCAGCTGCGGCTTCGACGCGTGCGAACACGAGAACAAAGACATGCAACGCCACCAACGACGCGTCCCCACCACCTTCTACCACCGCTTCACCCACGACGCGTGTACGTTCGCCGACCAGTACGCCCGAGGGAGGATGGTGAGCGTTCTGGAGGGAGGGTACAGTGATCGGGCGTTGACGAGCGGGGTGATGGCGCATCTTGCTGGGTTGGCGGGTGTTGGTACGGGAGAGGGAGAGGAGAGGAAGGAGGTGGAGGAGTGGTGGAAGGTTGAGAACTTGGTTCTGGTACGCCGATTCTGCTCTTTCTCGTCATTGCCACATGGTCTGAGTACGCGGTCTTTCTTCTGCATGCAGTTGGAACAAGCCACCAAGAAACGCCGCGGCGGACGTGTCTCCCAACCCCAAGCACAAGTCCAACCCACGACTCCCCACCCCGAATGGCTCCAACGCACCCTCGAGATCTTCTCCACCATCGATACCAGCCCTCCAGCCACGAAAGCCGTCATACCTGCCTCCTCCAGGTCGTTGCGACAGCGACCGAGCAAATCCACCCCTTCCACTTCCACTTCTGCGTCGTTGGGGTCTATCGCCTCCACATCTACGACCTCCAGACGGAACGGGACCTCGAAAGCTCCAGTGACGAAGCGAGAAGACGTGAGATCGTCAACAGAGGGAGAGAGCTCGCTATCCGAACTATCGGAGGAAAGTGCAGAAGAGACATTACTGGCCGCATCGGCGTCGAGGCCGGTGGGTGTGACAGTGGAGGTGAAGGCTGCTGAAGACGAGACGCCGTATGTGGTGAAGAAACTGCCGAGAGTTATCTTGAAGCTTGGACCGAGGGATGGTTCGTCTGGGATAGGCGGGGCTGGGACGTAGTGGCATGGATTTTCTGGATTTTCTTCGGGTTGGGTGCTTTGAACGAGAATTGGAGATACCCTTGTTGTATTTGTGTTCTTTCTTTTCTTGACGAGGTTTTCAGATACCCTTTGAATGTACTGCGCTTTCTCATGGGGATGTGTCATGGAGAAGCTGATTTATACCACTGTATCAAGACCGAAAAGCCTTATGAACACATGGCGGTCGGCTGGGACCCTTCCTCTGCCAGTCAATACGCACCATTGCAGCTACGGCAAGCAAGCGGTGATTTGACGACTTCGACTATTGCAACGGGATTCTACATTGCTCAGAGTGAGATTGCAGTAGCTGTAGATTGAATACAATTTGTTTGGCTTGATTTGAGAACGTGTGTCTTCCGAACTGTTGCTTGACGAGGCTCGCGTGAAAGAGCGCCCAACAACTTTCCTTCTAACGGTCACCTCTACGGTCACTTTCGCTATGGCCACCCTACTTTTCACCTTCCATCTACGTCGAACCATGGTACTATCGCCACAAGGGGTGATCTTTCTGTCCTGCGATACTCGACTCTATGAGCCGCTTACGGACGTTGGAATTCGGACGAAGAATGGGTTGGATTCGGACATTTTGCGATAGAGGTGCGTCAACCAAACTTTAAAAACATTCACAAGAGCTGAGTCTTGTGTCTGTCCAGAATTTGTCGGATGCCTGCATTGAGTATAGTCTCCGACGACGTATCGTCTCCACGGAACCGAAATGGGAGTCTCCCGTTCCCTCTTCACCCCTATGGATTCGACCAGTTATGCACGCAAGTCACTTAGCCCCTCTATCTGGCTCTTGCGCTCCGTCCCCAACATCCTCCGCTTCCACCTTACACACATGCATCCACGACGACACCTTCAAAACCTTCTCCCTATCGAGCTTTGGTCCAATGTCAAAGATCATTGGTGCCCCTCAGACATGCTCTCACACGTACGTTTCTATCTCGCTCTGGTCCCAGATGCAATCGAAGACACCGTGTACGGCGACCCGCGATTCTGGGAGCGACTCTGTTTGCGGAACGGACTGGGCTGTTTCGCGTGTGAGGGAGAAACGCCGGAAAGCGTCGATTGGAAGAAGGTCGCGCAAGAGTGCATCGTCACCGACGCTGAATGTGAAGTCAAGCAATGTGGCATGAAGAAGTTGGCTCAGAATCGTGAGTTATAGCATGCACTCTCTCGATTCTTCACCTCACGTACTGACGAGGTTTTACGACCCATATCAGAGAACTTCGTTCAGACGTTGGAGATGAACTTCGACTCTCTCCTTGACCCATCTGCAAAATCCATGTTCGTGGAAGCGACTGCAGGCACTAAAGACGTTGAGATACTCGATTCCGTTCTTGGTGCTATCGCATTCCAACGCGTCCGCTCTGAAGACCTGACGCCAACTACGGACCCGTATCTGCGAGCACTAGGAGCACAATATCAAGAGGACTGGGACGACGTGGAAGATACTGATCTCCCAAAGATGCCGCCGGATGCGTTGTTGTGCAACCATCCGGTTGCGCAGCGCAGCTTCCTCACGTTTCCTCCCGTGACGTCGATGGCCCTGGAGAACTGCTGCAATATCGAGGTTCGCAATCCGTACGGTATCACCGTCTGGGACTTCGTGCAAGCTGTGCAATCCAAGTGAGTTTGGTCTATACAACCAATACGTTTCAACCTGACCCGTGCCAATCACAGACTTGATTCTACGATGACGGCACCAGATATGGCCGGGATGTTCCAATACGCTTGGCTTTCCGAGATTTTCGATGAGGATTCACATTACTTTGACCGACCGAAAGACGTGGGGAGAATGATCCCCGACGTCATACAAATACTCTCTAACATGCGGCGCTATGTATCCCTCTAGTAAGTCTCACCGCAAACCTTGCTCCGGTCTTTCTTACTGACTCGTGTGATTGTGAAGCGGCATAGCAAACCTTTACAGTCGTGCATGGATGAATCGAGAGGACTCTGGGGAGCTCAAAGAGAGTTCAGTCACCAGCAGTGACCCTCTGCCATGCGCATGCGCTTATGCGGCTATACGAAAACTCGACCATTTCGACTACCAATACTGAGATTATATGAAGAAGGGATGAGAGTAGCTTCACACGACTGACAGTCCCTGAATACGACAAGCCAGTAAGACTGTGGTCTTCGTCCTATTTCTTTCGAGTGTTGTATTACGTTCCACAGAATATTCATGTTCGTTCTTCCTCTCCAATTCGGTGTCCGTAACATATGCTACCAAGTGACAAACGCAGTCGGTCACTAAGACCGCTGACTGCCTCCCAATGTGTATAGATTCCAACCACCGTCTGCCTATGATTGAGTCGATCCGAGCCCATTCCTTCCGAGAGCCTGTTCCAAGCACATTCTTGGCGCGAAGCAATCTGTCCGCCAGCTGAACATCCGCGTACAGTGACACCGGCCGGTCTCCGCCTACGAATGGTGTGCTCCTCCCACCTCGAGCCACTTCGCAATAGTTGTTAGTCGTCAACTCCTCCTGAGTCCAAAGCCTTTCGTTTCGCCTCGCCTTTCTCTGTCCCCGCCGGAGCGATATGCCCCAGCTTGCTCATATACGCTTCTCTTGTGTGTCGAAGTACTCGCAGCTCCGCGGATCGAGATGGTTGCACGTTGGACGCACAACGATTGAGAATACATAAGGGATAGGTATATATCGGAAGGAACGCAGCGTGCAGCACGCTCGTTATCCGTACTCTCTGGGAAGAGCGGATGCCCCCACCACTGGCAAGGGTGTACGCCAATTTCGTCGACCGAAGGCGAGGTCAATGATATTCCTTACAGACACAGCTTGGCACGCGAGGTGTGTTGGTCAATAAAATCAAGCTGCAATTGCATATATTGTAGGTCTAATCGAGCAAAAAATCATTGCGGTAGAAAACAAGTTCCATCAGCAACATACTAGCCCACCGCGGGGGTCGAACCCGCAGCCTTCAGATCACACCTAGCAAAGAGGCAGACGTGCGTAAAAGTCTGACGCTCTATCCGATTGAGCTAGGCGGGCGTATTCGAGAACGGGGTTCAGGTCTATATAATAGAGTAACCCTGAGTTCTATGTTCCCGCTGGAATATTCCTACTCACCGACGCCTTCAACAAGCAGGCAGCCTTCTTAGCTGGAAAACCTGTTGATGATACGATGAGGAAAATACTGAAGAATACAATGCGAAGATAAAGAGAGTACTCCGTGTAGCAACATACGAAGGATTGAGTGACTGTCGAGTTCTTTGCACCGACCTCTTCTCCATTCTCCACGCATTTGGTCCGGTCACTGTCGGTGTCTTTCACGGCGTGCTAGATGGGAAAGCTAGAAGAATTGTTGGCCATATTTGCCCTAGCTTGTACGATGCAATCGCCGATGGGTAAGTAACGTCGAGTACAAATCAAGCACTATGGAGTGTCCATAGCGGATTCGTTCTGACTGACAGGTCCCGCCTACATCATTCAATTATCAGCTGAGTCGTCGTATCAGTAGATAACGAGCTGTGACATACGGGAGAAATAGATATTTTCGTGAAAGGGCCAGGGCGCCACAAGATGTTGACACACCTGCTGAAGGGCCATCTCTAGATACCGCGCCTTGAACAAGCTAGTCTTGCTTTTCGATCGTTGACAGTGCCGCGCGACAAGACAGTGTAGTTCATCCTTCCGGCATTTTACCGCCACCATCTTGTCATCTGGAAGACCGACGAGTAAGCTTTAGGGAAGCCCGGTTGTCTGCACTCACTAGTGGATCTTCCGCACTAAATGAGCTAACAACGCGACCGGTGAAATGGCGGATCAGCTGTGAGAGACGGGATGAACTCTGTCTTCAAGAATTGGCTCGGGGATGGTGGTAAGCTGTGTCGAAAGACGTGATATTGCTATCAGCGCAGGATTTGCTGTGGTATCATGTCCAGCGAGGTACTATTGCTCTTCGAAGAACGCAATTCGAGTGTGGGCGAGAAGAAGACATAAACGAAGATAATTGAATGACCGAGAACACGATCACGCGAACGCATTCAGTTTGAGTAGCCGGTTGAACAAGCATGCTCACCGGCGCGAGCTCCTATGCAGCTGCTGAGAAATTGAGTACCATGTCACGCAGCATCATCGTACGGAGATCTCCCTCTCACCTAGTGGCATGATAACTCGCCTGCAGTACAGCTTCCCCAGGGCGTGCATACCGTGGAAATAAGTCAATGTGGGACCTGAGAGGTGCGAGGGATCATCAGCAGGAAGACTTGTCCATAAGAAGTGTAGTACTTGCCGGCTTTCGGGCAGGTAGGGTAAAATGCTCGCGGATGGTAAGAGATCCGTAGTTACTTCGGCACCCCGCTGTTCCTTGCCTGCATTCGTTCGGCCCCCGGCAAGTACGAACAAGCTGCGCGTGTATCGTATTACGGGAGAAACATGTTTGAATGCGAAGCCTTGATGGTGGTCGTGTGCAGCGAATACTGCTGGGAGGTGAGCGTGACAGGATGCTGATTGGCCGATGGTTGGGAGGTGAGCTGCCGGACGAGGTCGAGCCGAGTTCAGTTACGAGACGCAAAGGCTCGTTATTGGATGAGGAGAGCAAGACATGATGCGGATGGTGTCCGAGGAGATTATGAGCCCTGTCAAATAGATGATTAAGTTCAACATTGACTTCGTGCACGGATCGTGAGCGCGCAAAACATACCAGACTGCTGAACTCTTCATCAAAGCGGGGGGAACTGCCGCCGTGAAGTCCTTGTCACGCTGTCTGCACCGAGTTGAATCGGAAAGAAGCCAGGGCAGAAGTTTCGGGACGTCGATAGTGTCGCTGGAAAGACAAGTGACCCAGGACATGCGGAAGATACAGAAGCCGTGAGGCTTAATGAAAAAGTTCCTGAACCCTGAGGGGAAATGTCGGAGACAGATGTGAGCACCAGGTTTGGGTAGGAATAACACCAGAAACAACTGACGGTAACGCTCCTGTTGCAGGAACGACAGATTCAAATAGTGCCTTCTATTCTTGCCCACCGGCGGTCCTGAACGCAGTGTATTCGCGTGCATCGGGTGAGAGTGACTTGTCCAGAAAAATATACTGAGAGACAGAGTCGGTCAACTCGGTGACATGCAGGGCGTATCAACCCGAAAGGATTGTATGATCCTGGATGCGACGACTGCATACAGTGATTGATGAGCGTATCACGGAAACAGCGCAGACGACAGAGAAACGATCTCAGCTAGATCATCTCGACATGTCAATATGTGGGTTAATCGCGGACGAGGTGACTTCTTACCTGTTGGCCTAGGACTGCAAAGAGCGCTGGCTAAACGCGGCGTTGAAGATAAAGTGATCAAGATTCAGCGACGCCACGAAGCTCGGCTGACACCCGGGACCAGATCACCGAGAAATCCAATATTGAAACCACGACGGGAGTGTTGGTGTTCGATGCAATCCGATGAGATTGACGAGAAACGTCGCTGAGAACATCGAGTACACGAAAAGAAGCCAGGACAGCTGTCGTAGGCCAAGGCACTTGTCTGCGAAACGAATGCACAATACGATCCGTGACTCCTCTTCCATCCAGAAAACGCGACGAAGGCGTACCTCAATATGTAAGAGCCCATCGAAAGCGAAGTGTACAACGCGCGGCTGGTAGACGGAAATAGTCACTCCTCAGAAGCAGCAGTCTCGTTCAGCTTGGGTACGGCAAGGGTGCGATTCGACATGTGGAATTGGTATGGCTGTCATTTCCTGGGCCTGACCGTGTTTTTCATCGGTAAGTGCCTACGCCCAGCGTTTCAGCGGTATCGCCGACTGACGAGCAGATAGGACAGACACACCGAAATGCACAGCACGCGATGATACAGTTCACCGAGTTGTGAGTGCCTATCTATACAGGTGTTGATATGTCTAAACAAGGGCGAACGTCTCTATCAGGCTAGGCACTCGGCTTTAGAGGATAAACTTAGGACTGACCATATGCACTCCGGGCGCTGTGTTACATCCGCAGTCACCGGGGCGTGCGTAGGGAGGTGATTGCAGCCGGTGGTTCAACGACGGCGGCGTCACCACCTCATCGTGGCATAACAAAGTTGTTTGTCATCGTCCGCTGCGAAATGAATGCCACACCCGTGAACGTTTCATACGGTATCTTTCCTGAGACCGAGCGGTGATGAAAGGATCGGGTGCAGTGGATGGGCGAACCCGCGAGACGTGACCGGAACGACGAAACCACGAGGAAGACATTATGAACGGACCACTCCGTTCAAATCTATTCCGTTCCGTCTGACAGCCCGAGCAGCTCCGAAAGGAGACGCATCCCGCGACCAGGAAATCATTTGAACGACGTGCTTTGACCCGTGTGACACAGATTGCGTGCAGTGGAAAGTCGGCGTGGTATGCATTCCGAGCAGCTCGGAATCCATTCGCTTTGCTTTGGATTCGACATCGGCGCGTTTGTCACAGAGGTTTGAATTGAATCGACGCATCCAGATCGCGTGGGGCCCCGCATTTCCCCACAGCTGGAATGTCCTCGTTGCCTGTTATATGAAGTCAGGGCTTGAGAAGCTCTGTAACGCAGGTGGAGTTAGCTTGCATTTCATTTTACGATGGTTGAGTGACTCGCCAGTGCGCCCCTGAAACGGAGATGACTATGAATGGTAGACCTTGGGTATGCAAAGATGAGCCAGACGTTGACAGCGAGGCGGTATAGACGACGCCCAAGCGAGGCGACGTGACCATGGCGGGTGCAAGGGTCCTGTGATACAGACGATGAATATCAATAGCAGTGTGTTCAGACGCTGAGAACTACTACCTCGGAGTTTGGAGACGCAGTGACACCGGGACGATGATGGCGAACGGAACCGTTATCACGCGGCCAAGGCCAACCACGCAGAACTGCTGAGAAGAGAAGTTGAGAACCCAGGACATCCAAGATAGACGAAAACAGATCCTTACTGGGATTAAGGTGAACACGGCGAGTGGAATATTTTGCAAACGAGACACGCAGTATTCCCGTGGCGACCGCACGGGATACCAATAGCCATCCGTATCCCAGCTAATGGCAATTCATATCGCTGCCTTTCGCTGGTCATGACTGCGAGAGCCAATGAGACCAGTATCGTCATGAGGTCCTCCAATAACAGTTGAGTGTCGTCAAGGCTCTGAAGAAACGAGTCGCGGAGGGATGAGAATACTGAGGATCTGCATACACGAGTCGGAGTCCGGGAGCACTAAGTAATCCCTTTAATTGAAAAGTGCTCTCATCATCGACCCTCATTGATACGGGATGAGACGATCCTGCTTTCTGAACAGGAGATGGATGAACGATTGCCTAGACTTGCGATACAATTGGACACGTTACCTGCTAAGCACCTGAGCACGGTCGTCTGATCAAGTGCTGGAGTGAATCGTCCATCATAGCCCTCCGGACGTCAAGCGAGTTCGATTGAGGGCTCCGACGAGTGTTGAAAAAGAATGGATGGTCTTTCATATGCATGGCAGAGTGACATGATACAGAGGCAGCGTCGCTGCAGATGGCCGTCATAACGAAAAACGAGCGCCACAAGGCGCCACAGCAGAGCTCTGCGCGCTTACGCACTTGTCTGTTCCCGAACCGTCATATCCATTCCGTCTGCAATTCTGAGTCTCTTTGTCTCTGACTGGGATCTGGGACGACCGACCACGTCAGGTATTGTCGGAACGATTCTTCTTAATGTCACCCTCGAACGACTGGAGGTGTGGGACGACTCCTTGAGAGTCTCGACCGCGTCCTTCGAGAGCCTCCGACGTCATCCATCATAGCCTCTGTGAGTGCATTCTTGTCGTCTACGAAGGCATCGCAATACGAATCTCACTCTTACTTCCAGCGTCTTCACGATTCATGCTCCAGACCACTCATTCAGTAGAGGCGATCTACAGATCGCCACTCTATACCTGCCGTCTTGGGGCCAGACCTTTCTGCGCCCGAAGGGATTCTCTGCCCGAAGCCCTCGAAGTCTGAGGGTACACCCTACATTCTTCGGTCAATTATCTCAGCACCATCGGAGTCGGC